ACTCCACGGTGTGCTGCATCGGCTACGTGGAACCCCCATGTGGATGTCAAGGGGCTGGAGGACGCAGCAGGGACGGGGTTGTGGCAGTGTAGATGGGGTAGAAGTAGAGGGCGGAGGCAAGAGGGATGAAGTGGGAGACAAAATGGAAGGGAGTTTGTCTGGTCGCTATGTGGAGGGACCTGGCGCCAGTATAGGGTGCAGGCAAGAGACGAGGTAGGTGGTAGGGCAGAACACATGGTGACTCCACGGCGCGCTGCATCGGCTACGTGGAATCCCAATGTGAGGAGGGGGAAGAGAGGGGGTAAACATTAGAGATATTAAAGGGTGTGGGGCAGACAGAGGGCATGGTGATTCCACGGTGTGCTGCATCGGCTACGTGGAACCCCCATGTGGATGTGAAGGGGCGGGAGGACGCAGTGGATGTTTAAGGGGCTGGAGGACGACGCAACAGAAACGACCCATGGCAGTGTAGACGGGGTAGAAGTAGAGGGTGCAGGCAAAAGGGGAAGTGGGAGACACAAGGAACGGAGGCCCTATGGTCCCTGCGTGGAGGTTTACTCGGGGTGGCAGTGGGACATGGCGCCAGTATAGGGTGCAGGCAAGAGATGAAGTAGGTGGTAGGGCAGAACACATGGTGACTCCACGGCACGCTGCATCGGCTACGTGGAATTCCCAATGTGAGGAGGGGGCAGGGATGGGGTAAGCGTTAGAGATATTAAAGGGGGTGGGGCAGACAGAGGGCATGGTGACTCCACGGTGTGCTGCATCGGCTACGTGGAACCCCCATGTGGATGTTAAGGGGCTGGAGGACGCAGCAGGGACGGGGCCATGGCAGTGTAGACGGGGTGGAGAGGTTTACTTGAGGTGGCAGTGGGACATGGTGCAGGCAAGAGATGAAGTAGGGCAGGTGTGCTGCATCGGCTATGTGGCGTCCCCAATGTGAGGAGGGGGCAGGCAGTGGGACATGGCGCCAGTATAGGGTGCAGGCAAGAGATGAGGGAGGTGGTAGGGCAGAACACATGGTGATTCCACGGAGTGCTGCATCGGCTACGTGGAATCCCCAATGTGAGGAGGGGGCAGGGATGGGGTAAGCGTTAGAGATATTAAAGGGTGTGGGGCAGACAGAGGGCATGGTGATTCCACGGTGTGCTGCATCGGCTACGTGGAACCCCCATGTGGATGTTAAGGGGCTGGAGGCGGGGCCGTGGCAGTGTAGACGGGGTAGAAGTAGAGGTCGCTATGTGGGGGGACATGGCGCCAGTATAGGGTGCAGGCAAGAGACGAGGCAGGTGGTAGGGCAGAACACATGGTGACTCCACGGCGTGGGAAGGGGTAAGCATTTGAGATATTGAAGGGTGTGGGGCAGACAGAGGGCATGGTGATTCCACGGTAGAAGTAGAGGGTGCAGGCAAGAGGATGATGAAGTGGGAGACAAAAGTGCAGGCAAGAGACGAGGTAGGTGGTGGTAGGGCAGAACACATGGTGACTCCACGGCGTGCTGCATCGGCTACGTGGAATCCCCAATGTGAGGAGGGGGGCAGGGAGGGGGTAAGCGTTAGAGACATTGAGGGTGTGGCGCAGACAGTGGGGCCAGTAGAGGGTGTGAGCAAGAGATGAGGTAGGTGGTAGGGCAGAACGCCTCCACGGCGTGCTGCATCGGCGGGGAACCCTCATGTGCAGGTTTGATTGGGTTTGAGGGGGAGGCGCAAGTAAAGGTGCTGGGGGGCAGAGAGAAGGTATGGTGATGCAAAACACGCATGAGCATTGGGGGGGGGGTGCATATAGAAAGCAGGGTCACTCCACAGTCTGCTGCAAGCTAAGATGTGATGGAAGACTAGGTAGATGCGCTGCGCTCGTTTGGGCCTGGCGTCACAAGTGGAAACGAGCGCGGAGAAGTAGGCCAATCGAGGCTCGGCGAGCAGCCAGCCGCGATGCACCGGGGGGTCTCCAGCGGCGATGTAGAACGATTTTTTGTAGAAGCCAAGAGGTGGTTGGAGACTGAATGATGCTAGATTTTGTGTTTGTTTGTGATTGGGAGCAGAAGTGGAATGATTTTGTAGAAGCCAAGAGGTCGTTTGAGACTAACTAATGCTAGATTCTGTGTTTGTCTGTGATTGGCAAAGTGGAAATGAGCGTGCAGAAGCAGACATGAGGATGGTGACTCCACGGTGTGCTCCACGGTGTGCTCCACGGCCTCCTGCCGTCCCTCTGCCCGGGCCAAACGTCACTCCTGAACCAA